TGAAGGGAGGAGTTGGGAAGGCCGACAAGCAGGGGGTTTGCATAATCGAGCCTGGAGGTGATGAAGGCATGAACAAGAGTTTCAGCGCCTGAGGGGGTGAGGTAGTGGTGGAGTCCGGCGATGTTACGGAAGTGAGGGAAGGCAGAGGGGGTCATGGTTTGAATGTGGGGGAGAAAAGACAGTTGAGGGTTGAACAAGATAGCTAGGGTCTGACTGGCTTGGTGAGTTGTAGTGTGCAACCATGGAGGTTGATGCTGCCAGAGCCTGAGGTGCTGAGGCGCTGGCGCGAGCCAAGAAGGAGGGCCTCAGTCTTGTTCACATTCAACTGTAAGAAATTTGCCCTCATCCAGGACTTGATGTCCAACAGGCAGTCTGTCAGGACAACAGTAGTCCTGGAGTTGAGGGTGGAGGCAGAAAGATAGAGTTGGGTGTCATCCGCATACATATGGAAGTTGACCCCATGTCTGTGGATGATGTCACCAAGGGGGAGCATGTGTATATTAAAGAGGAGAGGGCCAAGGACAGAGCCCTGGAGGATGCCAGATGTGACAGTCCGGGGGCTGGAGGAGAAACCGTTAGAGAAAACAAAGAGATAGGTGGCCTATATGAAATGCTGATTAGCTATGAGCCAACCAAAATAATTCAGCCGTCTCATTGACTGCATCTGCGTTCTCCAATGAATAATATATACCACAGTGAATTCCATCAAAGTAATCTCCCACATCAATAATTGGCAACCTTAAGTGACAAGGCAGTCACAGTAATGAAAGGAAACTTAGAACACCAGGCTTAAATATTGAAACTGTCTGGAAAGAGAACTAAATACTTAAAATGATATTGAACAACCAAAACTTCCTACTAAATATATTTTAAAGATAGATCAGTACTGTATTAGTGTATTCACACACAAAAAAGCATTTCTCTTCTCAGTGTCTGGTGAAGCTTGCTCGACTCCTTCAGGAGTCAGGAAGAAGTTTGAGGATAATTATTACCCTCAAATTGTCCTTTTTCCATTGCTGCCTCCCGAAGAGAACTGGGTGACCAATACCAGGAGAGTACACTTGGTGGGAGACAAACATAAAAATCTTCCAGGAGTGAACAATTGTATGGCATATAATTTTAGGCTAAGTAGTATTACAAGATGTAAACGATGAAGGCCCAAGCAACTACAAACCATGACTTTCCGAACACATGGCACTTAAAAGGGACTCCATTAACTCTCCACGCAATGTGCATGCCTGAATAAAAGAAAACCTCTTTCGAAATTAAAAACACTGCATCTCCAAATCTACATGAATTGTTCATTCACTTCATGGCAAAACTGATTGCTAGGTTTGATGATTAAAACAGTCGCCACACTTGATGGCAATTATCTGTGAAGTGCTTTGAGTAGTTTTCTCAGAATGATATTCATTTTTGACAAAGTACAAGTTCTCTCTTTATGGGAATTAGGGTTTGGAAAATAAACTATGAAGCTCATTTGCCAGTCAGTCAATAGACATAGCTTTGCAGAATTTAAGCATGTCCCACCATCTGACCTTACTTCAAGACTACACAACCTCTACATCAAGCACTCACACAAAACCAACATTTGTATAGTTGATAAGTTTAAAGTTATACATTGCTTAAAAAAAATCAGATAATTCAGGTTAAAAAAATACTTTTTCTTTCTGCACTACTGAAGCTGACCTTTATGCAACTTAACTGCAACTTTAGCACCAGTTACATCAGACTCGGTACTAAAAGCATTCAACCATTTCCTATGCAGTGCCCTCTTTGTGTTAATTAAGCTTATAAACTGACACAATACCCAATACTTTCCATTCAGCACAGTAGGGTTGAACTGCAAGCAAATTCCATATTAATCTGTGGATAGCCACAAAAAGATATTATTTAAACCAGCGCTGTAAGTTGTTGCAATGTTATCCTAATTTAGGGATGTGCCTACGATTTAAACAGAGTCAAAGTGCAAGGCGAGAAAATGTATAATACAAAAAATTAGATGTTAATTAAAATTTCTGACGGATCAACCAACTTGGAGAGATAAATCCTGGGAGTACAACTGAAACACCTGTAGAAAAAAAATCTGTGAAAATGTGCAAGTTACTTCACATATATGCTTCAAAGGTAAAGTGGCCATCCTGGCTTTGCAAGAATTTCCCGCACCCCACTCGAGTGCAAGTTCAAAACAAAGGTGCGTGCGTGCTTTCTGAAAACTCACGGAAATAGTTGCATTATTTTGATTCAGACTGGAAGACCAGTGAACAGCCAAAACACACCAGGAAAATTACTTTGTTCCACTATCAGAGAATTTAAACTTCATAATAAATGCAAACAAAAACTGACCTTCCTACTCTTGGTGGAGTTTCTAACTCAATCTCAACAATGTGTTGATTTAGTAGCAATAGAAGGGCTAGTTCATCACTTGTGTAAACCTAAAGAGAGAACACAATTCATTTTGCCCTGATCTACATCTTAATGGTCTTTATTAAACAACAACAAATTGCATTTATACAGCATCTTTTACATAGGGATGACATCACAAGGCGCTGGTCAGTCAAACACAAAAGAGGAACTCAATCAATCTGATCTCCCAGTACATACTGCAAATTGCTGACATAAGTTCTTTGATAAAAATAAAATTCCTTGATAAAATCATTTCTCTTATCCCAAGCACACTGCAATGAGCACTGACTAGAGTGGTGGAATCAAGCATTTTGTCACCAAAGAGCACTATGCTTACATAGGGATAAAATTAATTCTGTATGCTCAGTTTAGCATTTATTTTTTGAACAAGTATGAATCTCAACTATGCTAATTGTTCTGTAGTTTTAAAGGTCTTCAAACTGTTAATGCAACCTTTTCACCAAGATCTTCACCGTTTGTCAGTGAGATTTGCTCCTTGAAATATTAATTAAAAAAACCCCACTGCAACATGTATTAGGACACTAATATCTCTAGACACAATGATGTCTCCATCATTTGACATTTTTGATTGGCAGCAGGAAAGACGATTACATCACAAACCATAAATTTACCAATCGAAGATGGTATGAACAATAAGAAAAGAATCGGACCTAACTGCCTTCTTCAAACTCCAAGTTTATCAAAACATAATTCTCTATTCTGAATTAAAAAGAACATTATAGGTCCAGCAAGAATGCTAGAAAAGTTCTCACAATGGACTTGTGGGCAAATATACCAATTAGCAAACTGTTTTACACACAGGGTTATACGTCTATAGAGGTCTAAGATGAATTAGCCAATCTCAGCTGAAATAGCCACTCATCTGACACAAGATCAGCAACCCTGAGAGAGGGAATTACTAGGATTACTGTTCCTGATCATTATCTCGAGTCAACTGTTGGATGGTGCAGCTGTGGATTTTGGGCAAGGACAGGATTAGGCTGAAAATTAGGCTTATGGTCTTAAAACTTACATGCAATTTAAAGAGATAATGTCCCTGTATCAACTGTTTGGGCAGTAAGGAAGAACTTTCATTTAAATAGTAGTTCAGCACATTCAATGTCTCAAACCACTTCACCAAAAATTAGTCAAGTACAGTGACTGTTTTGCAAGCAAACATGACAGCAAGATCTCACAGATAGCCATGAGATGAAATGACCAATTAGTTTGGAGAAAGGTTCCAACAGTTGGAAAACGCCCTGGGCACATTCCATTTGCCAGTGATTGCATTCCAATCATTCAGTACAGACAAGCTTGATCTAATCAGAAAATGTGTGGATTTCTGAAATACCCTTTTCAGGTTTATGCCCGCATTTCAAAGACAACCTACTTTGGTAAAATGCTGTGGATATATTGTCAAAAAATAAATTTAATGCCAATCACAATCTATATGTCAGGGCTTGGTAAGCCTTTAATCAGTAAAACAGGCTTAACTGGCAGAACTCACATCAGGAAGAGAAAAACATTGGTTTCAAGTCCCTCATTAGTTTTGAGCTTGCAGTCTAAGATAATATTCCAGTTACGGACCTGGAAGGGTAGACCCCACTCAGCTCCTGTTAACCATGTAAGCCAAAGCCCCAATGGGTAGGGAGGTCCTAGCTGGACAAGCAGAATCCATGGCATTATTCAAAAAGATGAGGTTGTGTCTTGGCAACAGTCACTCAGATAAATAGTTGATCATCTCACAATCTTTTGCGAGATATTGCTCTATGCAAATTGTCTGCACAATCAGATAAATACAGTCTAAACTTTACAAAAACAAATCTGAAGCAATCAGCTGCGTTTCAACTTAATAAGGGCCTTTATCAATGGAAGAACTTTTTATTACACCAATATGTTCAATATCACAAACATCAATAGCAACAAAATGCTGGGTGTGTCAGTCTCACTCAGTTGGTAGCACTGTAGCCTCGGAGTCAGAAGGTTGTGGGTTCAAGTCTGATATCGGGACTTTGAACTCGCATAGTCTAGATTGACACTCTAATATAATGCTGGAAACATGCTGCAATATCGGAGATGCTGTCCTTCAAATGAGACATGAAACCTAGGTCACATCTGCTTATTCAAGTGGGCATTAAAGATCCCGTGGACTACTTGAAAAGAGACGTCCAATAATCCCACAAATGAAATTGTCCTTTCATTTCATGGCTGTTTTGTGGAACATTGCAGTGCACAAATGAAGTGCACGTCTGTCTACAAATACACAGTCACTACACTTCACCGTAAATCCAAACACAATGCATTTTCCAGATTATTATAAATCAAATGTTCTTTTGAGTACTGAAAACAATTAATTGCACAGTCCTATTTATACTTGGATTGATTTGGTCATGGTAAATTGGTTTGCATTTTTCAACCTCTAAAGACACAACATAAGCTTTGCACAAAGACTGCCCACCTTTCTTTCCCTCCTCTACCACTGCCAAGCAACATATTAAAATATTGCAACCACAAAAACCATTTGATCTTATTGCTAATATAAAATTTGCAGTGACTGATCCAGTGGGTGTATGCAAATGATTAAATGTTCCTACCTGTTAATATTTCCTACTAATCCAGCAGATGCATCTGTTGACCATGAAGAGACCTGGAGGAGTTCCACACAGTTGCAGAGTGTAGCTACAATCTATGCTATGCCGTCTTCGTCAGGTTCTGGATGAAAAGAGGTCAAAAAATATTAGCCTGGGCTGGATATGAACCAAAGTCCAAGAACCCATTTACCATTCAGCAGACCTTCATATTCTGTTCTCCTGAACTTGACCTTTATAACAAAAAGCATTAAGAAGATGCAATATTTCCCAGTCAAACTGTGAATCTGCTAGTTTCTCTGGGATTTAACAGTAGTAGCATGATTAAAATTAATTTGTAAAACATATAGCAGGTTACTCAAGCACAAGTTCAAGGTCTACAATATTTATGGTAATGCAAAGCTCAAATTCAGCTGCATTATTGAAGCAAGCCACTATCATTAATCCTGACCGGCACAAGAAGCGCTGTAGATAAAACCATGTCGAGGCATTAGTTTAAACTGTGATAAATTAGAGTTTATTTTTCTATTGGAATCTCTCATTAATTTAAGAGCTAGTTTGACTGAAGTCAGCAAAAATGTGAAGATACCTTTCTTTAAAATGTGATCAAAATTGTTTCAGAACTCGGTCAAAGATCAGCACAAAATCCTACAGATTCTAGTTCCAAAGTCCTTGAAGATAATTTGATCCAGTGCCCGTAACATCAAAATGCCTCAATGCACTTTACAAGCAATTGTGTCAGCAATGTCCCCAAGCAGGAAAAACTCCCTTCTCTTTTTGAATCTGGTCATGTAATCTTCAGTAATTCATCCAAAAGATGACACCACAGATAATGCACGAATCCCCCAGTGTCAGCCTGGATCATCAGGTCAAAATCCAGGCTTGAACCCACAACCTTCTGATGCAGAAGTGAAAAGTGCTACAAACTGATATCTAATACTCTCAACATTCTCCTTTTGGCTAACTATAAAATTTACCGGCACATTGTTAGCCAGTTTCTTAGTCTGTTCAGTTATATAGATTTGTTATACAAATCTAACTTGGTGATGTTGTCAATATTCTGCCTGAACAGACCACTATCATGAGTTCTCAAGAACAAACATAAGAGCTCCAGGTAACGAAAGACAAAAGAGACCATTAAAAAAAGATAAAAGATAGCACTAATTCAACACAGTTCATACTTCAAAGTGTAGTACTGCAAAGTAGATTCCAGGCAAGACTCAACTGTTAGTATAAAACAAAATTGAAGTCTGCCTGTGAAGCATAAAATATGCACAGACTCAAATAGAGACACTACACCTTTGAGAAATGTAAAGCACAAGTCTCCTCTTGTAGAAAAGCAGTGTAGAAAGTTACTAATGCTTAACCAAATCCAAACAAGCTTTAACAAGAGCTGCAAGAGCAAAAAAAATTAAACTCAGCCAGGTATAATAAACCATCTCAGTATGTATTAGAGCTGAAATAAAGGAGGTTCATGAACATACAAGCAATACGGGAGACCAAACTACCAGATTAGATCAAGGCTTTTGAATTCTATTTTGTATGTATTCCCCTATACTATGTTCATAAGACCAAATGCTTCCTGGTATGAACTTACTGTTGAACAATAAAGATCAGGTGAGCAGCCTGAACCTTACAGATGCATTTTGGGGTTTGCACACAACTTCAAAGCTTATAGGGCAAGGATGGAAAATTTTATTATAATCATCCATTTTGTCATTGTGGAAATGGTGATTAATTTAGAGAAATTAATGTCACTACAAATCTCACTCAGATTTCCCTCCTCAAACAGATTATAAAACTGGCCTTGACTCAGGGAGACTGAAAAGCCTACCTACTTTAAAGAATACTGGTTATGGGAGACAAGGAGTAGGGTATTTGCAACACCTCTAAGTAATCAACTGAGCAGAAAGACAGGAACACCTTCCGGGAAAGTTAACAAAAACTAAGTAAGCTATTGGCCTAGAGTTCCAAATTATGACATCAATTGATTACAGGTAAGGTGAGAAGGGAAAACAAGTAGGGGAAATGGGCTTCTGAAACTTGTGAAAATTAAGAGTCAGGCACAGAGTAGCCGAGAAGAGACAGTATCAGTGCCCAGTATGGTTATAATAAATAATAATCCTCGCATTTGATATAGCGCTTTTCACATCTTCTAGATATCTCAAAGCGCTTCTCAGAATATACTGTAAAGTGAATTGACTATATATGGTAGATGTAATATATTTAGATATCCAAAAGGCATTCTATAAGGTACCACATAATAGACTAATGAATAAGGTCAGAGCATGTGGTGTTCCACAAGGATCGGTATTAGGACTACTATTGTTCACAATGCACATTAATGATTTGGATTCGGGAATCCAAAATTGTGAAAATTAAGTGTCAGGCATAGACTACCCCAGCAGATGAGAGTGGAAGAGATAGTGTCAGTGTCCAGTGTGGTTATAATAAATAATAATCCTTGCATTTGATATAGCGCTATAGTACAATTTCAAAATTTGTGACAACACCAAATTGGGGGGAGTAGTTAATACAGAGGGGTACTGCAACAAATTACAGCAAGACTTTAATAAACTTGCTGAATGGGCATTTAAATGGCAAATGTATTTCAATGTAGAAAAGTGTCAGGTGGTACATTTTGGTAGAAGGAATAAGGAAGTCATATGCATCCTGGAAAATAAAAACCTAAATGGGATGGAGGAGCAAAGGGACCTAGGGGTACACATACATAATTCGCTAAAAGTAGCAACACAGGCTAATAAAGCCACAAAAAAAGCAAACCAGCCATTGGAGTTCATTTCTAGAGGGATAATAATAATAATAATCCTTGCATTTGATATAGCGCTTTTCACGTCGGGAGGACGTCCCAAAGCGCTTCACAGAACACATTGTAAAGTGAATTGACTGCATATTTGTGGGCGAACGCGGCAGCCAATTGCGCACAGCAATGTCCCACAAACAGTCATGGATTGAAAATGACCAATTTATTATTGTTTTTGGAGGGATTATTATTAGGCTCTGTGTGGAGTAAGGAAACTTGCCCAAGGTTTCGCCCTCTGCCTGGAATTGAACTCAGGTCTCTCACTTGCAAAGCGAGTGCTCTAAACACTAAGCTACAGGACTCCAGGATAGAAATGAAAAGCAGGGAAGTTATGGTGAACCTTTAATAGAACCTTGGTTAGACCATACTTAGAATATTATGTGCAGTTCTGGTCCCCACATTATAGAAGGGATGTACAGGCACTGGAGAGAGTGCAAAGAAGATTCACAAGGATGATCCCAGAACTGAGAGGTTATACCCATCAGGAAAGGCTGAACGTGCTTGGACTCTTTTCTCTTGAAAAGAGGGTAAGGGCTGACCTGATAAAATGATGAAAGGTTTTGAGAGAGTAGACATAGGGAAGATGTTTCCACTTGTGGAGGAGACCAAAACCAGGGGCCATCAATATAAAATAGTCACAAATAATTCAAATAGGGAAGTTAGAAGAAATTTCTTCACACAGAGAGTAGTGGAAATGTGGAACATGCTAACCCAAAGAAGGAGTTGTTGAGGCAAATAGATTAGATGTATTTACGGGAAAGGCTAGATTGATACATGAGGGAGAACGAAATAGAAGGTAATGCTTGAAGGCTTAGTTGAGGAAGGGCAGAAGGTGGCTCATGTGGAGCATAAACACCGGCATAGACCAGTTGGGCCGAATGGCCTTTTTCTGTGCTGTATATTCTGATGCATATTTGTAGGCGAAATATGGCAGCCAATTGCGCAAAGCAGTGTCCCACAAACAGTCGTGGATTGAAGTGATCAATTTTATTATTTTTTTTACTAAGAAATGAGAGATAAGCGAGAATGGTAACGTGTGTGCATGGACATACGATAGCACTAGGACAGATTACTGGTTTTATTTCTGCCCACGAATGGCAGAAGAGTTTTTCTGAAAATCACCTGCTCAATAAGGAGTTAATTGAATAAATGGTTTGAAATTGAGTTTGATGCTGAAGAGCCTATCTAGTTGTGCAGAACCTGACAAATTAATTTAATATTAATGTTTGCATTTGATACAGCACCTTATCATGTTATGACTTACACCCACACACCACCACTGCAAACCTCACTCAGATGTCCCTCCTTTTTTGTGAAATGTAAGGCACAATTTGTTTAAAAGTTACAAATCATATTACTATGTGAAGACACCAGGAAGACAAAGAACAGAAGACACAAAGCAACTATCCATACAGTAAGTGCATGGAATGAAAAAGCTGCAAGTCAATGTTTCACAACATTTTACAATAAGATTCTAAATTCTAAAATGGCAAATACTAATCATCTCCATTTGCACGTATAAGAAAACTAATAACAGCAGCAATTTACTGCTTTCAGAATAACCAGATGAAGTACAATAGTCTTTTCCTGTCCTACACAAGATTATTTTGTAGATGTAGTTTCAAGCAGTGCTACATACCTTGATCTCATTTAATACATGAATTGATAGTACACTCCATTCGTGAAAGACTGTCAAATAATAAGGTTCAAGCCCTTTAGATTTGCCTTGCAGCATACCTGCCAAACATTTGCGTTTTATCCACTGTTACAAAACTAACAAGCTCTCATATACCTAGAATAAACTTCAATCACAAATCACAGTGGTGCTGGTTACCTCAATTTCAAATGGATGTCTCCAAAAATCACAGGAACAAGAAAAAAAAGCCTTGGCAACAGTGGAAGGGATGAGCAAGCAGCGATGCAGCACCTGTACAACAGGCCTTCCCATTGAGGAAGCAATGAACTGCGAGGCCCCAGCTGCAGTCCAGACACTGTTCAGCAGTCGTCTTGACACTGCAGAAACAAGAAATCTGTCCATTAAACAGCTCCACTTTTCACAGTCCATCAACAAAGGGCAAGGACAGATCAGCTGCAGCTGAATGGCTCATTTACAATTCTATTGAGAATCACTCCACAGAATAAGAGCACAAACACAAATTTTCAGTATGAATCACTCCCATTTATTCATTTTCTTTGCGGGAACATGGAGACAAAAAAGACACTTAGAATATCTCAACACTTCTTTCCGAAACATACAAAAATGATGCAAGAATGCCGATTCTAAAAAAATTGGTCCATCA